TTTTGCTGAAGAAACAGGACGAGATCCAGCGTATAACGGATCCATTTCTATTTGTGAACAACGCCTAGGTCTTCCTCTTGTTGGTGACAAATTCAAAGTTAGAAATTCATCTTTTTCATCTAAAGTTAGTTTATAAAACATTTGATAACCATCTGCTGGCGGGTCTAGAGGTAGCCGCCACATCACTATAATATAATTTACAAAATTGCACTATTCTTCCACACTTATAAAGATAAGTCCAATGATCACAAGTTTTTTAAAAATACTGAAAATAATTCAAAACAATACTTCACACACCCTTATCGCACGTTTCTATTTCTTTTACTCTAAGCCCCGCAATTAATTTCCCGAGTACAGCGACTTACGCCACTTTCAAAATAAACATGTTTGTTATACCGTTAATTAGCAAAACTTCTCTCGAACAAATCTCAATAGTTCTCAACTTATTGATTGCAAATTTAAAAAAAATGAAAAGATACCGTTCAATTGTAATTAGAGTTACCATTAACTCGATTTTTTTGAAAAAGTGACTTATGCTACTTTCAAAATAAACGGCTCAATTGCATCTACAAGCGGTCGCAACTGCACGCAGGAGTCATTGAAGCACACACTTCGAGGATCTTGGCAAAGGTCTGGACGAACGTCTGCGACGATGTTTCTTCGTCTGGCCTCTGAATGGCGAATTCTCTAATAGTTGAGTCACTCCTGGCTGAGAATACTTTATGCCCGAAAGGTGCAGCAGCATCGAGACGGTCGGCGTCGGAGAATGCACCCAGGTCCGGAGGGGACCGACTGCACCCTATAAATAATCGTCGGCGTTACTCGCGTTCGGCTATTACTGGACCCGTCTCGAGATTTTCCTCTCGATTTTCTCTGGTGTTTTTTTTTTGTTCTCGCGAAAAGCCGCGTTCTTTTTCGCGGTCGGACGCAGAGGGCGCGTTGGTTGAGTCACGTAGTCGCCGACGAAAATGGAGAACGATATTTGAACCTCGAGAAAACCTCGAAAGTCTTTGCATTTTTCTTTTTCTATATACTATTTTTATATATATTATATATTATATATTATATTCTGAATTTTTGTTATAACTTCTTAATAAAGCTCTATATGACCTATGTTTACATAACATTTTTTTCTTACTTTATGCCATAGGATACACTGACAAAGTTTGAACATTAAAACCTGATACACACCTGTATAGTTAAACAATTTTAGAGTTTCGTAGGTTTAGTGCTAATACTAAGCAAATTTTATAAGAGTATGTGCATTTGAAATAATTTTATGATTTGGAAATAGGGGGAGACACTAATGAGCATTTTAGATGGAGCGTGATTAACCCTTAACCACTTAATTAATATTCCGTTATTAGTGACATAAAAGCGTTAAATAAAAAGTCAAAATTATTGCATATCAAGTTGCATATCAATAACGAGGAACGGTTAACGAATTCTCTAAAGGCACAAGTGTAATATGAAAAAAGATTTATGCATGTGTCGAATGTGGTTTATGTAATCTTGTAGTTTATACGAGAATGGTAAACTTAATATTATTAAATTCAGTTTATCTATATACAAATTGTATGAACATGGGACACAATGGAGGTCGGATGATTCTGGATTCCGTTGTGGGGCTGTTAATTCGAAGATGGTTGTACATTGAAAAAAAAATAAACATATAAACATAATTTCTTTTTACAATCTATTTTATTTATATTAACATATAAACATATTAACCCCTTGCCTTCTAATTTATTTTCTGCGTGCGTAGAGAATTTAATTTAGCGCAAATCTATATGCGAAAGCGTTACCAAAAAATAAAATTAAAATATTTCTGTCTTCATTTAATATATTTATATAACTGAGCTTTCAAAATTTGAAAAATATCATTCTTAAGTTACAATGGAACTAAGAAAACAATTATTAATGTAATTGAAATTATTGTGAACGAAATTGACAAGCTATTTAAATTCTTTTCTAATATATTCTCGATTTTCTAATAATTCCTTATAACTATAACGACACAATTTGATGGTTGTATTTTGTCAGTGTACTGGTTGCACGAAGACGTTCTTTTTCAATCTCACGATGGTTTGAATCTCTCATTTTTCGCTGTCGTGGCTGCAAGGGGAACTTCTAATCGGCGAAAGCCGGGAGATAGAAGACGAAAGAGCCCGGCTATATTTAAACTGACGGGCTACCACGTATATACGATTGGGATGCGTGGAAATGCCATGGGACGTGCTTAACGAGCGGAAGTACGTTGCAGCTGCAGCCGTAGTGAAAAGGAATCGGCCGGATGGGCTGCGTGTACCGCGTGAAATTACTTGACGTTTGTTTATAATATTCATATAATACGTTTGATCGCAGTGTTTGTCGCCAGTTCCTCTCAAATCTGTCTATAATTATTGTGCCCTAAACAACGTTGATGCGTACGCATATGTCTTCGTGGACGGTCTTGTACAATTATTTAAATTGGGATCAAAGAAGACACGTTAACCCTTTGCCTTATAATGTATTTTCTGCGTGCGTAGACAATTTAATTTAGCGAAAGCGTTATCGAAAAATAAAATTAAAATGTTTCTGTCTTCATTTAATGTATTTATATAAATGAGGACACTATTTCATTTTCATTTATTTCAAAATTTGAGAAATATCATTTTTAAGTTACAATGTAACTAAGAAAACAATTATTAACATAATTGAGATTATTGTGAACGAAATTTACAAGCCATTTAAATTCTTGTCTAATATTCTCGATTTTCTAATATTTCATTATAACTATAATGACACAATTTTAGATAGAAAAGAAAGACAATAGAATATGTAAATGTCATAAACAGTATAAAAGAAATTTATCGCGTAATTTCCTAATTCCGTAATTCATCGCGAAACCGCACCACTCTCTTATCAATCTAGCGAAGCAATTGTTCGAAGTATCAATTAGCATATTCTACAAAATGTTGGTGAGAGCTCAACAATTTTTGTACAGTGCTAACGTAAAGAAAGTTTCATCTGGAATGATTCGACATCGCAGCCGTAAAATGTTTAGCAAGATTTTCGTTAGTCGCCTCGAAGGATTAAACGATGCATGGGGAAGTAAAATGTGTACAGTGTTTAATCGAAACAAATGGAAACGCGGCGGAATACTGCTTAGAAAGGGTGAAGGGGGTTAGAGGGGGCTGCAACGTTGACCAAACGAGCAAAGCCGGTCGATCAGTGTACCTACGCGCGCGCGAGAGAACTAAAAGCTCCACCGTGCTTTCGTCGGGATTAGAATTTGTTGAATCGCGTCCCACCGGTTTCTCTGTCCACAGTCCTTTGTTTGACTTTCTGCCAGTTCTCCTCTCTTTGATAGTCCGTGACTTTTTTAAGTCAATGACGACGAGCCCGGTCCGAACTGGAATTCGCCGCAATTCCCCTGGGTCTTATTCATTTATCCGTGACGTTTCATTGTTTAGAAGAGAACGACGTCCGCAATCAGAATATTCATCGGAATATTTGTTCTACCTGCGCCAGCCACGATTCGATGTTTGCATTTGCGGGTAACCAATAAAATGCGGGCAAATTAAAAGAGTTTAACCTTTTAGGTATGGCTGAATTCTGCGCGAGGCTATTTCTCTGGACAGCAGAGTCTGATATGTACTGTACAGAGTCTGATACTGTATATACAGGGTGTCCCAAAAATGTCTCGCCATCCGAAAGTGGCGGGTTTCTCAGGTCATTCGAAGCAACTTTTTCCTGTACAAAAATTTTCTCCGAGGCACCGTTAACGAGTTATTAACGAAAAACAGTGACCAATGAGAGGCGAGCTCGGCTGGCGCGAGGCGATCGAGCCAATGAGCGGAACTGGGCTTCGCGCGCTGGTTGGCTGGGCCGCCTCGCGTCAGCCGTACTCGATTCTTATTGGTCACTGTTTTTCGTTGATAACTCGTTAACGGTGCCTCGGAGAACATTTTTGTAAAGGAAGAAGTTGCTTCGAATGATCCGAGGAACCAGCCATTTCCGGATTGCGAGACATTTTTGGGACACTCTGTAGACTGTTGTAAATCGATGTGAAGACAAAAAAAGTGTGAAACAATGCATGTGAAGACGATTATTTGGTTCAAACGATGAGCGAGTGAGCTACTAGAGCAAACCACTATAGTGGCGCGTCGTCCAGAGAGATGACATCCGCGAAACATCGATATATTAGATATTAGATGTCGATATTATAGAACGAATTTTCCAATGATCCATAGTTTAATGAACATGAACTTTCTAAATTTCTATTTTTTATTTCATTGTACATATTAAGTATATCCGTAGCAGGAATTGACTATTAGAAAAATCGATTCTGCATCGCAGCGACAAAAATCGATTTACTAGAAAATTTGTTTAAAAAAACAAAGATCGAAATACTATTTGTAGACATATGTGTACTGTATGGCTTATTGTTTTATCGCGGAACCCGATTTTTTAAATCGGACCTGAAATGCAATGTTTTAATTCTTATGGCACTTTGGATCCGGTTTACAAAATCAAGTTCTTCGATAATTAAAAGTATGTCAATATTAAGTGCTCTTTCGGAAAATCGATTCAGAATCGCCCATCCCTGATTCATGGTATTAAACATACAAACTAATGCAAACATGACCGAAGTAAATGAATAAAACTTGATCGGTATTGATTATCAATATTATCGTTATAATATTTTCGATACTTTATGTATACCTTGTATACAAAATATTGCAATATTTTAGGCATTAAATCAAATTTTTCTTGCAAAATACGAGTACTAATGTATCGTTTTCTGTTTTGTTACAGGTGAGTCTGAGATTCGAAGATTCATGTCTTCTTGGAGGGCCAGTCGATAAGTAGTTAAATATTTAATAAACAAGTTATATTTGTCCAATTCATTCGTTGCTGAGAAACTGTCATAGAGTCTAAATTGAAGATTTCTCAAGAACTAGAATAAATAACAAAATTATCCACGTTACAGGACAACATAATTATTGAAAGTGTTCTTAATTTGTTCACATCGATGGGATTGTTTTTCCAACTTGTCAAACCACGTACGAAAGTACTCTTTAATAAATAATCAATCCTTTAAATTCGGAACTATGTTCCATTTTCTGAGCGTGGCACAAGAGCTTCTACCACGAGGGAAGCAAATAACGTCAATTTCCTTTCGACAATCGACAGAAAACAAAAATATTATTTGCGCGTTGAAAGGGTAGTTTCAAGTAAACCGTTAAAATATTCATGATTTTCGACAATTTTTTATACATTGAAACTTTTCGTAATTTTTTTATACATATTCTTTGACATTTCAAGATACATGAAATTTGTTTTCGGTACTTTCAATCAACGTTTACTGAAATAATGAATCTTATCATCCATAAACCTTCTAGACGACGGTTTCTCCCGCATTTTTTCCCGTCGATTTTGAATCTAGAACGGAAGATATAACGAATCTATGAAATGAATCTATAATCTATAAAATGAATTTAAATCCCGTTTAAGAAATGTGAATGTAAACAATGCGACTCCGTAAACAAAGAAGCGATGTTTATTGAAATAAAAGCTTCACGCGATTACGTGTTATCATATTCTTCTTACACTTTTTAAATCAGGATTTAGCTCCACACGACGCGTAGTTCTATTGGGTTGGTTTATCACGTTCTAAGATAATTTTTATATTAACGAAGTTTTAATTTAAAAGATTGTTAAGAGCGTAATTGCTGTGCTAGTCACAAGAGTCAATTTCACATCCATAAAATGCACTTTGTCATGTAAAATAAAAATACCATAAGTGAGAAAAATTATTTTAGATTTACAGTTAAAATATCTTCGAGTGCAAAGGGTTAATCATAAGAACGAGCTGCAAAGCTCGAGTAATCGTATCTCCTCTTCCCAAATTGTCCATTTTGGTTTACAAGATGGATGACAATTGGAGAGAATTTACTGTACTCTGGAGTGTTTGTCTCGTACTATTGGGTTGGCAACTAAGTAATTGCCGATTTCAGTTATACATGTCTCTCATTCCCATTTTTATGATATCCATAAATGTTATATTATAAAATTACTATTATTATTATTATTATTATTATGTTATTTTTTATTATCCGTTTAAGATATTCTCAAATATTTATCTTCAATTTTAAAGTATTGGTAATGAGAGAGAGAGAGAGAGAGAGAGAGAGAGAGAGAGAGAGAGAGATCCTTGTTATTCGGTCATGTTTAATGGCTACAGATTTTTCGAACACGTAATTTCTCGCACACAATCCGATTTAAGGTGAAATGTTAATTCCTAAAAATTTTAGAGTATCTCATCATTTTGTCCAGCGATTGTAATAATATTGTAAATAATATAATTTAATAATATATAATTATAATAAACTTGGTTACAATCAATGGACAAAATTATGAGGTACTCTGAAAATTAACCTACTCTAAAAATATTATTATAATAATATATATTGTTACAATACAACATATATATTGGTTATAATGTTATAAACTTGATTACAATCAGTGGACAAAATTATGAGGTACTCTAAAAATTGAACTACTCTAAAAATATTATTATAATAATATATATTATAATTATATGTTATTATATATGTTATAACAATATTATTATTATAATATTATAATATATAATTATTGGGTTGGCAACTAAGTAATTGCCGATTTCAGTTATAGATGTCTCTCACTCCCATTTTTATGATATCCGTAAATGTTATATTATAAAATTATTATTATTATTAT